ATAGATTCACTTTCATTATATGTTTAGGTTTTATTACAATTCTAATCATTACTTTTTAAAACAATATTGTCGAGGAGTAAATGTAGTTAAAATAAGTGCAGTGTCAATGGAAAAACTGCCCTTTTGGCATTGTTTTTTTGTGGGCACAAAGGTGTAAGTTTGCAGATAAAATTTACACAGCATTTAAAACATACCAAATTATTAATCTGCAAAGTTTCAGATTTTAAGCATGTATTATTATTAAAAATGTGTTACTTTGCAAGTAAAATACTTTAAAATGGAGCTGAGCATTTTTCTGTTAAATGTTCACATGCATTTTGTATCTACTACTACATCTGTATGGTAGGTATAAATAAAAGAACAATGTATTAAGTATTTATTTCTACATAATAGTCTGAGTAGCTGTTGTATGTAGCAGTCTGGGTTGAAGTAGTAAGAGATTTCTTTAAGAAATCTTCCTGTCTCAAGTTTATTTGAAAGTATTTTTTCTTCTTTGTTTGGTTTCGTTTTTTTTTTTTTTTTTAACTCCAGTTTCTTCTTATAAAAAGAAAGTAAAACATTTTTTTGTAAAACAATACTTTCTGGAATATCAAAATTTTGGATTTACACTTCACTGCTTTCTTTTCCTTTCCTCCTTTTCACAAGCCCAAATCATCACCCCATCCACAATCTTACTACTTTATGATTATTAGCTTCCTCTGAAACCATATTTTAAAGTTGAACTTATTTTTGTTTTGCATTGTTTTGTTTTTTTATCAGAAGTAGGTTATTAGTGAATGTAAATGACGGAATATAGCAGTAGGTTTTTAAGAGAATACTTTGTTCCAAAAATCCTCATTTAATTGATGTCAAACAGTTGTATTTCTCTGGGGGAAATTGCCGGAAATGAGAGCCGACAGAAATTGTGGCAGTTGAAAGATAAGCTTTGTGTCAAAGACAGGTTAGTGGAATTTGCTGAGAAAGGGAAGATAATTCATGTTCATACTGTAATTAGCTGCTTTTTTTTTCTTTTTATTTAGAATACCAGTAGCATTTTTAACGTATATATGTGTTTTTGTTATACTTGCACTTAAACCAGCAAAATTAATTTTACTAGTTTTTTTCATGTTTTAATGTTCTTTATTTTCTAAAATTCAAAAACTGCTAATGCTGTCAATGTCTTTATTTATTTATTTTTTTTTTTTTTGCAATAAATAAAAACCTTATGAAACCATGCAGTTTAAGTTGAGTCAAGGAAAGTAACCCATGTAACTTATCTCCCTTGTGTTAATGACATTTTTTTTTTATTTAAAGTTTCATTTACAGCTAATTTTGACAATTTTTATTGTATTTTATTTATTTATTTTTTTTTTTTTTTTTTTTTTTTTTTTTCGGCCTTTGTCCGATTAGTTCTAAACAAAATGAATATTAGCTTGTGCTACAGGGGAGTCATCCCTCCGAACAGTACCTCTCATTTAGTAGTGGGTTCTGGTGTCCGAGGTGTTGACAAATGGAGAAGTGCCAAGATTTTTTTTTTTTAATAAAAATCACATAAAACTAGACCCAGTGTCAAATTTTTGCAAAATGGACATACAAAGAATAAATGCTTTCATATTTTAAATCTAAAGGTCTGTAATTATAAATTTTTTTGTTTTTTTTTTTTTTTTTTGCATTGATTCTAAAGAAATAGATTTCTACAAACAATCATTTTCTTTTTAATATCTTTATTGCCACTAAGGATACAAGTTGTATTGTTGTTTTTGTTCTGCTCAGAATCTAGTCTGTGGTTGATTTCTCTTTGTTGTATTCTTTTTATCAACTTGCATAAGTTCTACTGAATATTCTCTTATAAAAGCAGGCTTTACAACATTGCTTATATTCTAGTTGGCAGTACCTTTTACCTAGATTTCAAATTGTTGCAGTACCTGTGAAAATATCTTGTTTTTCCTATTTGAATTTTCTGATGAATCTTAAATTAAAGGGGATGTGCAGATGGTGTAATGGATAGTTGCTCAATAAGAGAAATCAGAGAGCCAAGTTGGAATTTCAGTTAAGTTCATTACATTCACTACCCTTGTAAAAGGTATGAATCCCTCTTCTCCCTCAGCTATGGGTTAAATAGTAGGATTTGTATCTGGAAAAAAATATTAAAAAAAAAATATTCTTGCAATTCAAAATATGTTTTGGCTTTAAATAACCCACAAAGGGTTGATAATCCATAAAAAAAATCTTAATTTAATAACTGGAAAAGATCATTGTGAGTTTCATAAGTATAAAATACCTATGAACGCTCCCTTATTAGTTAAATATTTGAGCTTAACCACTTCAACTCACTATTGCATTAAGTATGTATGCAAATCATTATTTAAAGAAGTAAGAGGGTATAAATAAAAAGATTGAAAATTGGCAAGGTTTTCCATTTCACTGATGCAGATGTTAAATACATGAGAGCCTTATCACCTCCTATCTCCCCTTTCTTATGCATAGATGCTCTTTCTACACAAAAACAAAACAGTGTCTCTGATATATGTTTTTCTTCTGTCTTTGTTTGCATTTTAAAACAGAATGTTATTTATCAGAGATAATGGCAAGGTATATCACATGTGGTTACTAACTTAAGAAACAGAATTATATATTTGCCACAACTAAAAGTTTAGGTTCAAAATATTGCATGTTTTTTCCATAGCTGGTCCACTTGCAAAATGTAAAACTTTTTCCAAGAAGTGAAGATAAAATTTATAACATTGCAGTACAATATTCTGAATAAGTACAAAAGGTGAACAGAAACCAAGCTGGATAGATTATATTTAACAAATTTAAATTTTGTCCACAATATTTGCCATTTCAAATAGTTGCTTTTATTCTCTATTATTAAATATATTAATTTGTAATTTATAGATAATTATCCTTGTAAATGAATATTTTTCAGTTTATCATTTCTTTTATGTATTTCATATTTATTCCTAGTTAAACACATAATTTAATGTGGGATTTTTCAAGCTAAAAAAAAAGAATTTGAGAGTTTTAATTTTTTTTGTTTTACCAACTCCTATATTTCAGGCTTACTTCATCTTGCTAATGCTGACTGATGGGGTCCTAACTGACATGAATGATACTCGAAGTGCTATTGTCCAGGCTTCGTATTTACCCATGTCCTTGATTATCGTTGGAGTAGGCAATGCAGACTTTACAAATATGAACATGCTTGATGCTGATAATGATATTCTAAGAGATCCTGCAGGTCGACCAGCTGCAAGGGACATTGTGCAATTTGTTCCGTTCCGAGAATTTGCTAAGGTAATTGATAAATGCTTATTTGAATATAAACTTTTATACATCACACACAAAACATGATGTACAGAAAGAGATTGTTTAAATATTTTCTAGTGTCTTTATATGCAATCATATTCTATTACATATATAGATGAGGTGGAAAAAGGTGTGAGATTGTCAGTCTTTCTTATATATATATATATATATAGCAGTTTTTGTCTTTGAAAATTTTCAAAAACGCTTTTTTTTTTTAATTAGTATATTTTCTGTGTGTGTATGTATGTATATATATATATATATATATATATATATATATATATATATATATATAGATAATATTAGTGGTAAATATACACATACATATTCAAAATATATATACATAGATGCATACGCATACATGTATATTTTTTGAATAAAAAATTTTCAAGAGGATAGAATCCAGGTAGAACTCAATGTCCAGAACAGAGTAAGGATATAATAAAAAGGCTGAAACACTAATATTCCATGGTCATAATTTATTCCATTGGAATCGTATTTACAATTCCAATGGAATAAGTTATGACCATAGAATATTAGTGTTTAAGCCTTTTTATATATATATATATATATATATATATATATATATATATAAATACACAAAGAGAAAGATGGTGAGTCAGGTAATATAGAAAACTATATTAAAAAAATGTACACATGTTCAATTTAGAAAATTATATGATGATGGCTTCCCTCACACAATGAAACTCTATACATAGTAGTCCAAGTGATTGAAATCAGGTGTGCTAGGGGACATGATCATGCAAGTGTATGGCCACCCACCATGGAGAGAAATGGGATCCAAAGCTCTTGTTCAGCTGGCTACTTTCAAGATAATAGATATCCCTATCTCAGAGTCATTGTGTTTTGACAAAATCTGAATGCATTAGAATTGTTCTCAAATGCATAACATGTTCTCTGTGTGTGTGTTAAAATTTAAGGCGTTTTGGGCATCAGCTAAAGTAAATTTGGCTGTAAAACCATAAATCTGCCGCTTTTGACAAGCAGAGTTCTATTTCCTTTTTTTGTTTTTCTTGTTTTATTGTCAGAATCCAGGAAGTACGAAAACAAGAGAAGTATGTATTTACAACGATATTCTGTTATCTATTAACCTCATTTACAGGAAATACTTTCAGTGGAAATTCTAGATATTCAAGTTTGTCGATTTTGTTTACATAAATGTTGTAACTTAGGGACAGTTACTGAATAGAATAACCACACACATAAAATTTGCAAGTATGCAGAAGTAGTCAACTGCTAGAAGTCAAGTAAATTCCATAATGTATCTCCAACTGCAGACCAACATACAGTATTTACTACTCTATTTGTGTGAATGGAGACATACCCATTATCGTCCGTAGGTATGCTACAACAATAATAGAAAATTAATTTGATATGAAACCACAAGGAGATGAATAAAGTTCCCTAGTAATGAATATGATTTTCTTTGTGAGGAATGCATACCAAAGAATTTTCAATAAGAAGTAAGTCTAAATATCAGTGAGCCTAAACATATTTAATACAATCTGATCTCTTTAACCTGGTACCCTTGGGACTGGGCCACTGCCAGGCCTCAAAAAATGCTGAACAAGAATAATTATAATAAGTACTACAATAATAATAATGTTTAATATTTTTGTAAATTCTCAACAACAAAATATATATATAAATTCATTTTCATCATATGTTTAGGTTTTATTACAATTGTAATCATCGCTTTTAAAAACCAACATTGCCGAAAAATGAGAGTAATTAAAAAAAAAAAAAAGCATTGTTATGGGAAAAACTGCCCTTTTGACACTGAATCTTATTGTACCCATGTTTGCCCATTTGGCATATAAGAACAAAAAAAATTCTTACAATTCAAAATGTCTTGATTTTAAATAACTCACATAAGCTGTAAAGAAAAAAAAATCAATCATGACTTAAATGGGTCCATGTTGGGCAAACATGGTGGCCACACTATTTGTCAGAAGTCTGTAGAATGTTTTTCTAAATCATTCTTAGCAACTCTTACAATTGGAAAAGTATTTTTGGCTTTAAATAACAAAGGGTTGATAAGCCATAAAATCAGTCAATTAAATCTGTTGTCTGCATGATATTAGAAATCTAAAATGATCAAAATGTAATATATACAAAACTATGTACTTTTATTTAAGAAAGGTTTAAATGAAGTCCAAATTCTTTCAGCACAAGGTTGCTCTTTTTCTTTTGAAAAATGGTTTCTATGTAGTGTAACTTTTTTTTATGCAAATTTGTGTTTAGAAAGGCCTGTGAAAATTTTAATAATTGAATAAGCTCATGGCAAGTTCTATGACAATAAAATATCTGTAGAAATTCCCTTATTGCATCATTAAATATTTGAGCTTAACAACTTTAACAAAATATTGCAATAACAATCATAAATATGAATGCTGGTTGTTATTTAAAGAAGTAAAGAGGTAGAAATGAAAAGATTTTTCTTTTTTCATTTGACTGAAACGGCCATTAAACACTTCTCTCTTCCCTTCTTAATGAAATCAAGTAGTGTATTTTCCCCCACATTCTATGTGATCAAAAGAGAATAGTCTATTATTTATGAGGTATTGGCAGGTGATGTTAAATACTTTTATCTTTCCTTATTTCTTTCTAGCTGAATCTCTGTCTTACAAATATTGTTATTTTAATTTTTGGTAATTGCCTTACTCAGTGTCAGTCATTCAATAGAGTGTGTCTGAAAAATGGCACTTTTTATCCATGGCTTCTTGGCTGATATCAAACTGCAGTATCTGTTCTTATCAGCTTAATCTGATTCTCATTCTGTCTCTTTCTTCTTTCTTTCATTTTCTAACTGAAACTAAATATTGTGTTTCCCCCTCTCTTCATGTCATGAAGATGTGGAATAATCCATTATTTTATGAGGTATTAGCAGCAAGTAATGGTTGTGCTATCTAAGGAAGACAGGGACAAGCACAATTTTAATATGATACGACAAAGAAAGTTGGTTCACTGTGTCATGATAGACTTTTGCAAGGAAAATTGTCTTTGTTACACATAATTCATTCATGCATCAAATATTGCTGCCACATTTGGTCAGGTGGTTCTGATATATATTTAGAGATTCTTGATAAAATACAAAGAAGAATCTGCAATGTTATTGCTCCTGAAATCTCTGTTTCAGTTACTTTCCCATTGCCGTGACATAGCTTCCCGTGTACATTATATTGTCCTCATCTTTGTTCGATATTCCAACCACCTGAAGAAGGCCTGAGCATACAACAGCCAAAACGTTGTGATAAATATGGCAACAAAGATGAGGACAATAGTCCGAATAATGTAAATAATGAAATTTGACATTGTTTTGTTATCTTCTCTCTTGTTAATTGCTTTGCTTTGGGTCAAAAGATTAAAGAAAAAATACCCCCCCCCATTCTGTCAGTAATTGCAAACATGTAATATCTTTATTGTCAATATTAAAAGCAGCAAGTAATTAAACAAAATCACTTCATTTGATGACAGTTGGAGATTTTACCAATCAATACAAATTTCACAAAGATCTGTGTCTATTTCACATAGTCAGTCAAATTCTGTACAGACTATTGTTTGTGTGTCTCCAACTTTTCATTAATAGAACAAAACAGCATGCATTGTTGCACTGTCATGAATGTTTATCTGCTTTTTTTATATATTACTAACAAATGGCATTTACAACATTAGCAATAACTTTAAAAGCATATTTCTTCAGTGTTATTTAATTTAAATTCTAATTTTTAACCTTACCATATGCAAGTAGTGCTTCTATCAATGTTTGTATGGAAATAACATATCTGACCCGTCAAAAGTTATAAAACCTACAGCATTCATAATAATGTTATAGCCTGTTATTTCACATTTATTACAAATTATTCGAGCAGAGCTGAAAAATATTTTCTTTTAATTTTTCTATAACATTTTTATAATCAAGTAAATTGGCTTGGAGAAAAGATGTTAAAAAATTTAAAAGAAAACGGTTAAATTACTAACCTTTTTTTTTATTATTTAAAATCCATGAGTAAATGAAATGTGTTGGCTAAGATGAATTTTCCTTTTGTCTTTATTCATATTGTCCTTTGACAGATATGTTTTTTAGTTATATCTGAAACCTTACACAGTCATAGACGTTTCATTAAATTATATAGACAAGTGTTGTCTATTTATTTTAGGTAAACTCTTTTCATAACATCTAATAAGTCATGAAAAGCCAACATAGTTTATAAATTCAAGTGCCCTTTGGAAGATTGTATCTCCAACGATTTAAATAATGTTTATGTTGGTCACACCACAAACTCACTTTCATGATGCTTGACACTACATTGGAATGAAAACTAACATTTTTAGGCATTTAAAACAACATGCCTGCTCGCACACACAATTCTGTAAAATACTTGTCGAAAACATATTATACTTCGACATGAAAACAATAGACAAAAACTAAAAATCCTTGAAGCATTATGCATTAAACAGTTGAAACCCAACCTAAACAAAATCAACTATCCTTAAATGTCTGTAGTTGGTGACAGAGGCCATTGGTTTGTGCCAACGGCTTTCCATACTTCATACTTCTCCAATTCACTCTTGTGTGGTCATGTGTGACGTCATGAGATGCGGTGCGATTTTCGCTCCTAGCGTCTTATATGCACATGTTTATTGTTGCTTAGAGATCATCTATGTAAACATTCACATACTGTCATCACTGTCTTGTCCATATATTGCTTAATATGTTGTAATTGACATCTTTGATAATGGCTTATGTAAGCCAAAAGCTTAGATTGTATTAAAAAAATATATGGATCAATATTGTGAATTTCTTTCTTCGTTCAATTATAATGTTATTAAACTTATTAGACATTACGAAAAGAGTTTACATAAAATAAATAGACAACACTTGTCTATATTATTTAATGAAACGTGTGTGTGTATATATATATATATATATATATATATATAAATTATGTGAAGTATCTGGTCCGGTAGTGTAATGCTTACCTGGACTAAATGAATGACAATGCCTTTCATCAGATTTGATTCATACTTTTGTGATGTCAATGAACACTTGTTTGAAACTTTTGTAATCTCAACAAATAGTAGTAGAATCTTTGTAATCGGAGATACAACTATAGTACACCATTGAACAATGTTGATGTCAGATGCTTTTGAATATCACTCACACTAACAGTATTTGCTTGATAATACTAGCTCAAACAGTAATCCGTATAGTGATCCAAATAGCATAGCAAGTATAGAGAATAGTAATAGAGGATAGACTAGAAATAACGATCTGTATAGTATAGAGGATAGACTCAAAATGCAGAGATCATTATTAGTCATCAGCTCCTTGCATACATGCATTTCCTCTATGGTCATGTGGTCTACTTAATTCAATAATGGGATCACTTGTGTTTGCTAACTGGTGATCTATGTTCAAACTCAAGTGTTGGCAGTGACACTTTATTCCTATATAACACATATATATGTGACACCATAGATCAAGGAATGTGAAATGTCCTCATAATATCAGATCCATTATCATGTCCTGTCCAAACTTTGTTATTTATGTTGTCTTGCCATGAGCAGTGAAACAGCTGTTCACATTGACTCATCAAAGGTCAGAACACAACTGACAGAGATGTCAGCATTTCCTTGATGTCAAAGTATAGTGGTACTACATACCCTAACCTTTGGTATGGGAGTGTATTAGTGTTATTAAAAGATAATTGAATAATAATATTCATATGAATTATAAGTTAAAATTGACAAACTGAATATCTAAATTTCCACATTACTCAGTTATTTAACTCTTTGCTAACATAATGCCTGCATGACACTCTGCTATATGCTTTTTCTAACACTGTGGTGCAGCCCTAATTTTGAGTTACTAAATTCTGCAGGTGCGTAGAGGTATGTATACCCCTTTTTGTCATAAGTAGAATTTTTTTTTTTGCAACACGCTGGTATGTTGAAATTCTCACCAACATTTCCTTGTTGAAATTTACAAACTGTATATTTTGTTCAATTTTGCAAAGTAATTGATGAAATTTGAGTTTGAAAAAATTCTTAGACAAAAACCCTATTTTGCTGGGTTTTTTTTAATTTAATTTTATAAGAATTCATGATAGACAAAATTTGTTTCTTTCCTTTTTTTTTTTTTTTAAATAAATAATTACTGGGCCTTCTACCCAAATAAGGACATTCACAAAATTATATATATATATATATATTTATTGTGTGTATGATAAAAAGCATACATACATGCAAGAAAACATTTTGCACCTGAAGATTGCAGCAACTGCATGAAACTCAGAGTTGTACTGTCGACGTTGGGTATTATATATATATATATATTGTAAAAGAAAAAAAGAAAGTGTTATATGCTACATTTTTAACTTACCCCTGCAATCTATATTTTTGCTTAACATTTCTCTTCATCTTTCAGAGCACAAGTATAGAACTTGCAAGGCATGTCCTTGCAGAAATCCCTAAACAAGTTGAAGGTTATTACCGGATGAGAGGTATTCCCGCCAATCCTAAGCGTGCAGCACCACCACCACAACCAGCACCCTCAGCAGCAGCCCCAGCCCCATATCCACACAATACGCAGGCTCCATCAGCACCAGCCCCATATCCACAGAATATGCAGGCTCCATCAGCACCATATCCACAGAATATGCAGGCTCCATCAGCACCTTCATTGTAAAAGCAGCAACATCACTACCAACACTTTATAAAACAAATAATTTGAAACCACTTAAGAAAATTTTTTTTGTGGGAGTCAGAGGTTAATTATAATCAGTTTTAACAAACAAAAATTTTGAATTGTAAAATACATTTCATTTATGTCTCTTTAACCTGATAAAATTTACTAATTTCATTGACTAACAAGTCTTACAAGGTATTTATTTTTCATGCCTACCAGATGCAACATTTCCCTAAACCACAGGTATAGTATACTCCTGACCCTACCTATCTCTATCTCTCTACAGTGACAAGGGGGCTCACCAGACAAATGTTTGATTTTAAGCTGCCATATCTAAGATAAAATTAACATTTTTCTTTTCAGAATTTTTCATTGTTGTAAACTATAATTATTCACTACTCTTTCTCTTGTAGTTTTGCCTTCAATGTTAGAATTTGTTTAGCCTCCAGCTGTATCAACTGCTATTTATAAGGTGGAGATTTGCATATGACTACAAGAGTCATTTAAAAATTTTAAAAATTAATGTCTTGTATTCTTTTTTGGAATACTTAAGATACTTATGTCTAATGAAATACTTATCTCTGAATATCTTGTCTTCTTCAATACACATAAACATGGCAAAAATATTAACCTACATAACACAAGTTAAATTTGATTTTTTTGGTAAAGTTTAGCATACATACCTGCAAAGAAATAGACAACAAAAAGGGGTTTTTTTTCTCTTGCTACAGTTATTAATATACACACCCCCAGTAATTTTTATTACTTTATAAAGCTATTTTTACAATTTTAATAAAACTCAAAACATATGAAACTAGATTTATACTTTTTTTTTTTTCTTTCTGAGAACTGACAACAAAAATGTTAAACACTATTATAGTAATTAAACAGTCTACAAAAATATGAAACATTATTTATTTATTAATCAATTCTCAAGAAAAAAAAGAATATATAAAAATCAAAATTTATGTTTGGGTTTTATTAAAATTCTACAAATAATTTTTTAAAACAATACAACTTGCCAAATAAGTATACAGTAATATTGACATCAAGAGAAACCCTATCCTTTTCACATACAGCTTTTCTTTTTTGCAGATACAAATGTTAAACTTTACCATTGTTTTTTTTTTTATGTGGCTGCTTAAAATATATTATTGGGCAGAGTCATAAGTAATTTCCATGACTGTAGCATCCTAACCCACTGTTCCTTAAATATATCTGAAAAGATGAAAAGAAAAAAAATGGATTACATACGGCCATGTTCAACCAACCTCAAAAGCTGAGCTCCATGGGATATAGGTAATGTCATGCATGTGGAGGTATTTATTCATTTACAGCTCCTAAAACACAATGAAACCTTGTAGATGAAGCAGCTGAAACATGTCCATAACAGTTTGATCAAATTAATGTGCTTGTCACTAAGAAAAATTGCAAAGTTGCATACAGACAGCAAGAATAACACAGAAAAACGTTTGGAACTCTATCTCAACAGCAAGTACAAAAACAGTTTGCAAAGATTTGTTCTGGAGAAACATTGTTAGAAGAATCTATATTTATGACTCACAACTTATACAAGGGTAAGTCAAAAATTATGCAAATTTTCACCATAAGATCTTTAGACAGGCGTGCAGAAAATATTTGACTTTCTCTTGTTTAAAAGACATCCTGAACCCCTGGCCAAATCAAATTTCTGTAGACATGCACGCACACACACACATAAGTAAATGGTACAACCACTCAAATCTGAGGATACGAGTCTATTAGGGTGGTGAGCTAATCTCCATTACAGATGCTTGCACAGGCACATTTGTGTTTATTAAACATCCATAGAGCCCACCCGTGGCTTATACTGCAACTATGCTGAGCTGACTTTAGTTAGAGTTTCTGGGAGAGAGTGCATCATATAGCGTGATCAACAGTCTGAACAAACCCTCGTTCACGATGACTTGTGACTTTGTGCCAGCACAACCACCAACAGTTCCCAATGGTTCCGTCTACCCAATTTTACTCACAAGGCTTGGGTCAACCCATGATGGCATGATTTTCAGGCACTTTCCAGAGGTACTGCATGCTGTGTTCACCCCCTCCAGACCAATAACATCAAAAAGTCACCTTCCTAAAAAATTGACTATGGTGAGATTCAAAACCAGGTCTTATAATCAGAAAGCAAATGTTCTAACCACTTACCCATATATATGATGTAATGGAATAACCTGCCATCCCCATGAGTGACTACACTAGAGGTAGTAACTACCTATAAGTATCTGTAAGTCAACGGACTATAGAGACTAGCTGGGATCTGTTGAGTACAACTTACATGAGAACTACCGACCTTCCAATAGTAGCACTCACTACTGGATTGACTTGCAACGACTTTGTGCATAAGTGTTACCTTTATTTTTATTGTACTGGTTTTTACAATAAACCTTTACTATATATATATATATATATATATATATATAAATAAATAAAATAAAGAAGTAACGGACTATTTGATTCACTTGATCAGCAACACATTCCATGGCTACGTCGGTATAAACATGTTAGATCTAACAAATATTTCTCCTGCAAAAGGGGATGCATGTTTGAATCCTGCCAGAGAACACATATTTTTTAATAAGATTTCTCAAATATTTAGCCCAATAGACATAAATATACTGTTTAATAAATAAACAGTGTCTACCACTAAAGATGATATTTAAGTTATATATATATATATAATCTCCAAATCTAAAAGAATATAAATTCAAACGTTCATAACATTAATTTAAAAAAGGCTTCAATACAAGAGTAGAGCAATAGATATTTATTATAAACAAATACATTGGAACATGCAAGTTACCACGATAGAAATGCATATTTGTTTCAATGTCTTTTTTCTTTCTTTTCCTTTTATGGAAATTTTTTATATATTTGTTTCTTTGCCTTCTGTGGAAAATTTTCAAATATGTAAAAAGAAGTGATGTTTCATAAGTTGTGTTTTTAAATAAAATCGTTTATTACTACCAATGTTAACTACCTGATGAGATGTCTAAATTAGACATCGAAAGAAATACGCATTTTTGTTGTGGTAACTTGCACATTCCAATGTAACAGTTTATAATAAAATATATATATATATATATATATATATATATATATATATATATATATATATATATATATAATGATACAGTCACTGATACCTTTTTATGTCAAACCCTACATCTGCTGGGTTCTTTGCTTTTATCAGTTCAGAAAAATGATATAATTTCCACCAACCTGTTCTAACAAATCAAGTTTTGCCAAGGGACAAAATATTGAGGTCATGTGTGTGTTAGAAGAAAACAGAGTTCTTCTATTCATATACAGTCATTATTTTCCACAGTATTATTTAGTGCAAGTATTGACCCATACTTGTTTTACATGGTCATTTTATAAATGAACATTATTTCATATATTGTTAAGATTGGAAAATCCAAATCTCTGTTGTCTTTCTAGTTCTCCCTCATATTGCCTGATCTTTGTTGTCTCCCCACATGGTGACATTATCATCTTGTTTAGAGTGGTGCCTCTTATTCTCTAACCCTCTACTTCGACTGGCTCTTGGGCAGAGTGAACGTCATTGTTATCCCCCTCCCCACCACTATTACCTGACCTTTGTTATTTGTCTTCCCAGTTCTCCACCTCACTATTGCCTGATCTTTGTTGACTTCCCACTCCCCTACCCTTTGTGGCCTTCCCAGTTCTTCCCCCACCTACTATTGCCTGACATTTGTCTTCATTCTCATCTGTCTGATCCTTCTATTACAAATATAATGTGGTAAATCAACATTCAATAAAGAACAGAGGTATCACGAATTTAGTCACTATTTTAAATTGACCCAATTACTTTTCATACATTTTTTTTTATGACAGTATTTTAGTATGAAATATTTCTCTTGGTTCTTAGGTTAGTTTTATTGATTATACGACCACATGTATTTCTGGATTTTGTATGAGTCACCCAGTGAGGATCAAACTCAGTAGTAACAGTCAATCAGACTAGCCATCAACCAAAACCAGGTAGAGGGGGCTTCTTTGTTGCTAGCTTTTTATAAGCCATCAAGTTTTGTACTCCTCCCCAGTCCATGTGATTCAAGAGTGACAATTAGTCTTTATCTAGCATCTTTGAATGGCAGAATAAAATAAATATTTGGAATCCATTTTACTAAGACAAGTAGGGTTAGACATATAACAGCAATGACTGAAAGAACCTCAACATAAAATATGAACACAGTGAGTCTGGATTGCATCAATTGGGTGCTGTGTGGGGTGAAGATAAATTTTTCTCAATATGCAATAAATGAGGGGAGGTCTTCATAAAAGAGTGGTGGTTGAGAAATTCATTTAAAAAGGGTCTTAATAAAGGTGGAAAATTTACTACCCCCCACACACACACACATACACTCCTGTCTATTATATGATTCCCCCCACACAAATACTAATAAATACCCATGTGTTGCATTCTAATATGGTGGGGTTGCAAATAAATACCCTTTTATTTTTTTAAATTAATTCCTGTTTACATCATGTATAAAAACTTTCTTTTATTTCTCAAATGTGTAATTCTAAAATTGAAGTTTCATTATCATTTGTAAATTATGCTTTGCTTTTATTTTTGGATTATTTTTATTGTACTTATTTTTCTCCTCTCATAATTTTTTTTTCTTTTATTTTTCTAATAATTTTTTTTATAAGAAACATTGAAATGATTCAGATTTCTTAATTAGTTAAATGTGAATAAAAAAATATTTGGTAGCAAAGTTTAACAATAATATCCACAAAAAAAATTACTTTGACAGAAGGATTTTTTTTCTCTTAACTCTGCAATTATTGGAAATGCAAGTTTTACTGTTTTTAAAAAGCTATTTCTAGATTTTTGATAAAACAAACATTTCAACTGGATTTATATTATTTTCTCAAGAACTAATAAAAAAAAATTATGATTTATTAAATTATTTACAAGAATAATAATTTTA